GGTCAGGGTAAATGAATACAACTCAACTCAACTCAACTCAATCAACATCTCTAAAGATCTTTTAAACTCGAACAGAATTTACAGAGATCAACTACCGCCTAAACCAACTACCTTTAAATAAATACTTAAGTATCCCGAAGCTTAAGGCTTTATTACAGCTCTCAAGTTCGAACTTCGCAGTCTCACAAAACTAAATATATAGAAATATATCAATCGCAGCACAGCTACCTAAGCAAACAAGAAAGTTATTCCGCTTACATAGGTATTCAAGTACAAATTCGACACTAAAGGATATCTTATTAAATACAAAGCAAGACTCTACGTTAGAGGTAATTTATAGATTATAGAATAAGATACCTACGTAGCAACCTTAGTAGCACGTACCTTTAGATATCTTATAGTAATTATAGCCGCTTTCGATTTAGAGACAAGGCAGTATAACGTAGTTAACGCTTTTATCAATAGTCCTATCGACGAAGACACCTACTACGAACTCCTAGAAGGAATCTATCTAATCGAAGAATACTAAGGTATTTAACCAGGTCTTATCCTTCAATTACTAAAAGCCCTATACGGACTCAAATAATCGCCGGCACTTTAGCACAACCATCTCTTAGCATCTCTATATAATCTTAGGCTCTCTCAGGTTCTAGGAGTCAACTATCTCTTCTAAAATAATTTTATACTACTATTCTTCTTCGTTGATAACATTACAGTCATCTATTCTCAAGGAAACGAATCCTACGTCCTACAATTCCAGTAGAAGATTCTCGATATCTATAATCTTCGAATTCTAGGAGAACTCGAATAGTTTCTCGTAATCAGGATTATTCGAGATAGGCCTTAGAGAAAGCTTTAGCTCTATTAAGATTCCTATATTAACAAGCTAGCAAGCAAATTTAATATTAACTTGGAGAAATATCCGCAAACACTATTACCTATAGAAGACATTTAAGCTTCGACTTCCCAAGCTTCAGACCAGGAGATCTATACCTATCAACAAAGAATTAGATCGATCAATTTCGCTATAGTTATTACTAGGCTAGACATCGCCTAAGCCTCCAGCAAACTCGTAGAACACCTGAAAAATCCGTCTCAAAGACACCTACAGCTAGCCGACCGCGTAATTCAGTACCTTATTAGGACTAAGCATCTAGCAATCGAATTCAGTAGAATCTACTACAGCCAACAAAGCGTGTTTCTCGCATATAGTAATGCTTTATTTATAAACGACCCAGATACGAGGAAGTCTTTATAGGGGTACATCTTTCAGCTTTTCCAAGGGCCAATCGATTAGAAAGCTATAAAGTAAAGAACCGTTACAACCTCTAGTACAGAAGCCGAATTTCTATCACTATCAACAACCGCGAAAGAACTCCTTTAGTAGGAACGTCTCTTTCAACAAATTCAGTTCAGTCCAGATCATCACCTTTTCATTCAGTGT